ATAGTACGACATAGTTGACCGTGCATGCATCAACGGTTCCTTGGTTCAGCGCCGTTATTAAACGACCAGCAACGCACTTAACGTCCGTGGGCAATACGCAGTGGCAGCCTGGTCATAAGAGCACAAGCCATTAGTCATGGATTGCTACATATCCTACAACATACTCCGATTGGGTCGACATAGCCTTTAGTCTCTCTTGACACAAACGTTGAGTCCTCCGAAGCGTTGACTCAGATCCCAACGCAAGAGAACCTCTAGAACGAACGTGCCGCGTAGACTAGCGCCCTAAAAACAGTCAGTGAGTGACTCGGTCGTAGCATTCGTCCGGCTAGCAAGCTCTGCCTGAATCACACTGTCAGCAGAGAACGGATCGTTCGGCAAGAATAAGGGGGAGCTGGCGTAGGCTCGCACCCGGTTTTCACACAGCACTTGACGTTTCGGACGACCTGAGTCGATACAACGTTTACATCACAGTAAAAATCCGCCCTGCCTAGCGGACGGAAAAAACAGGCCAAATTCTATCCAAATTGTTGTTGACTAATGGGTGCTTCGGCTAGGAATCGTTTCCGTACGTTAGTTAAGTAGAGCTCTGGGTGCTTTTCACTGTTTCGTCTAGCGTTTCTAAATTTTAACCCTGTTATCTCTAGTCGCTAGCATAATCTATCTTAAAAATTGCTTCTTAATAAATGTTTATCTAGCAGAGCTATAGCTTCAATAAACGCGGACGCTCCACAGGCGAAATCTACTATGCGAATTCGAGTAACTTAAGAAACAGTTGCGTCTCGAGACAAATCTGCAGGGCAGGCACCGTCCGTTAACGTCTGACGTCATTGAGTCTAGGGGCGGCTACTGATATCACTCTTATTGTAATTGTTATTAATCGCGGCTATTCATTTAGAACCCGTTTTGCCTGGCACTATATCACCATTTGCTGCCGACCAAACGCAGAACAGACCCCTGTCTAGACAAACAGCGCCCACAATGGACTTTTAAGCTGCAGGTTGATGTTGTTATGCATTGACAAACTATGTAGATTACGTTCCGTAATGTTATACAATAGCAGAAATTATCGCATCGTCCGTTCACGGTGCGTTGCTGATATACGAGGTCACTACTGATGATTTAATGTCTAGAAAAACTAATATATCGCTGAATAACCATAAAGGTTGCGAGCCCAACGTTTTGGTATTCCCTTGAACTCGATGGGTTACTATCTGGGCGTTTGTCGCGTCGTTTGTTAGTGATGGCCTTTGGAAGTATTTTGCTCAATGATGATCAATTTCCATTAGGTGCTTTTTCTTCTTCCGTTGTTATGCGTTGCGCTACGAACCTCTTTAGGAACTGTTCATTTTCACAGGTACTAATTTTCTTAACGCTCTATCAGACGGCTGCGTATACGTTCAGCGTATTTTTCAGTCCGAATACTTGTCACACTTGCTATGTTCATGATGACCTTTGCTTTACCTTATTTCAACAGTCGCTATACAGTAGCACCATTGAAGGGGAACAACGACGCTCTCACATGAAAACGTTTATTTACTCAGATATACGTATTAGCCAAAAGCATTAGCGACACCCTCAGTGCGATAGACGACCATTCCCCTTCACGAAAATATTCTCAATCCTTATATTGCCATTTGGCATCCATCTACCTGCAGCACAAATGACATCAGCGGCGACTGAGGCTTTGCTTTCTCCGCTCGATTGCTACGTGCTACGAGACTGAAAGCAGGCCATGTCCTCCTGACTGCCCTGCAATCTCATACGAGCGTGGTGGTTCAAGGTGTCGGACAAGAAGATCGTCGCGCTGACATACAGCTTTACGGAAAAATAGACACACTCAATGTTAAATGGACTCGAACAAGCGATGGCGACGTGTGTGCCTGTATGTATAGTCAATCAGCTACTGCTCGGCGATGACAGACCCGTTGTTGAGGCTGCCTTAAAACTAGGTTAGATTGGGTCTACTTAACTCTAGCACCCGGCTGAATGAATTGCCAGAACTGAATAGAATTGGATTGCTAGATCACTCAACCTCTCGCAGCTCCGCATTCTTTCGTAGTCGCTGTCGATGACAGGAGGCATGACAACTTCAAATACGCGTGTCCTGACTGATTCGAAATACGATACACTGGTGCAGGTTTGAAAAAAGGCTATAGGTCTGTGTTTCTCTGTACCCATTCGAGATTTTGCTCTACGTTGCGGCAAGCTGATTGAATCCGTCTGCCCTTCGATTGGCGCGTCGGGTATTTGATAGTTGATTTGAAAAATCTAGCCATCGCTTCGAATCGGCTCTGTCGTTGACGAATAGAAGTACAGAAGACTCTGACAAGGTGGGCGAGACAAGACAGCCGAAAACAGCAACGAAAATATCGAGCACAAACGGACACACACACGGCTCCGACAGACATATCGGTACTGAGGGCATCATGAAAGAGCGACACACGCCGATAAATATACGAAAACGAGCCGACAAACGAAAATGACGAAATACGAAAGGTCGAACTTACGAAGAAACTCGGAAAGCAGAAGAATGACAGGGGTCTGTTGAAGCGGTTTGAGGAATTGGCTGATGAAGCTGTATAGCACCATCTGCCCTACGCGGCCAAAAGTACCGATGACCGCTCACCAGTGTGCCGGGGGTAGTTCCTCTCTACGAAACAAACCAGAAATAGCCAGCCGTTCGACTTAGAGCGGACAGACAGCCCCTAGTCGGCCGTAGTCGTATGCGCTGTCAGTGGCGCCAGTCGGGGTGGCACGATGCGGTCGTTGATGATAGAGCATCAGACAATCGTCGAACGGGCAAGCGGGTCAGTCACACTCGGACTTCAACGAACCCTTTACGCCGCAACACCGACACTGCGTTGTCGTCGTCATTGTTGTTGTTGCCACTGGGGTCGTGTTTTTGTTCACATTAATGGTTATGTCTGTCGTACCTGCGTGCTTCTTGCCCGTCTATGCTTAGCGGCCCTATCTTTAGCGACACGCCGTATCAATATGCTGTAAAAGAACATCGTAACATGTGTCAAAAGTACAATTTCATTACGCAACCAGAGTACAATGGGTGGCATCCGGTCAATGTATGGATATTAGTTAACTCTTCTTTTAATAATAAACTCGGTTTTTTTTTCTGTAAATTTTCAGGTGCAGTTTTCATGGTGTTTATATAGTTTTCTCTAATGTGAGCGTCGTGTCATCGTAAATCCGTAATACACCTCCTGATAGATTCCAACAATAATATTAGTAATAACCTCAGCAGTTTATGTTTATATAAGTAATAATTTCATCACTATATTAAAAACGTATTTCAAATTTATGCGTGCCACTTATATCGAAAGAACATTTTATGTCCCTTCCTTCCCGCTTCATTGTGTTTATCAGATTGCAGACGGATATCTCATTTATCCTACTATTCCTCAACTATTTCCCTGCTGTATTTCATGATTGACGATAGCAAATAAGCTTCGAAGAACCTTTTGTCTCTTGCCATAACCTATGACATCCCTCTCACATAAGCGTGTCTATGCATTGAAGTAGATGATGCCCTAAGGATGCGTAACGAAACAGTTCTTCGATGTACAAACGAATCATTATGAACAGACGAAAGCCGTAAAACCGCTTAAATAGGCGGAACCCGCTTTGATAGGTACGGGCATAGTCAACAGTCTGATTTAGCCGGTCAGCTCGCACCATATGGTCGTGCTATCCCTTTAGCACAGTCCGACACACCTAGTGTCGATACCCCACCGCCTTAAACTAGCCTTCGGCGCTGGTTTTTGGGTTGCTTCTCGCAAACAGGCTATGCAGGTCTAACCTAACAGAATAGGGCATAACCTTTGAACGATATCCGTTCAGCGACAATTCGTGAATTTCTGTTCATGCGCGATTGTTATCTGAAATCGAGCAGAAAAGCCGCCTTGCGATCGCATCTGCACATGTACGCATACCCTTCGTAGACACATGAAATCGCGATGGCGGCGTGGTTTCCAAAGATCACCACGACAACGATTTGCGACGACAAAGGACACACACAAAAAAGGACTTGGACACCAATTTCAACCGAGTTCTCTACACGTTCCTGAAGAATAACAAAACAAAATTGCCGAATGTCATTAGAATGCAATTCGTCGCACCTGATCAGCCACAATACGACGTATGGGGGAGGTAGCGATAGAGATAAAGAGATCGGGGGTAAGGGGTAGCAGCAAAAGTAATAAGGGAAAAGCGAACAGTGAACGCTTGTATAGGATTTGAAGTTACCCGAAGCTTTTGGTGCGATGTGACTTTAGGTTATGGAAGCTTTTGCAAATCGTCGGCAATGGGAGAACTGTTGTAAACATCATCCATTGCATCTTAGCTGTGCAGCAAAACCAGACGAGGCGACTTATCAACCTCAGAACCACTGCGCAGGAAGCGGACATGCTTGCGAATTCTTGAAAGACACAAGGTCGGTTTTTCGAGCCTACTAGCTCTTATTGTTGTTTTTGCTGCCTCGGTTATATTCCACCTCGAGCGTAAAAATCCAGGTTCATTGATGGCCTGACTGCCGTATACACTGAGGTTGCCTTTTACGTTACTTTGTCATGCTGTTACTTTTCATATTAGACGTTCTCTCTCATAACGATAATCTTGTTCAACAGTAAAAAGAAACAAATGAAATGTAGAAATGTCGGTTGTACATATAGGCTCGATGTTATCAGGAAGCGCTGACACGTGAGCGAAGAATAAGATTTATCTATTATCGTCTAATAATATGAGAGCCCGGTCGTGAAGGCAGCTGCAAAATGGCCAACTTATTACTGTGATTTGGAAATCATGGAAATATAAAGCTATTTCGTCAAAAGCTTTTCATAGAAAAGCTACGAGCTACGGGTGCTCCACATGTGGACAGAAAAATCATCGGATATGGAGACTTCAGTTACTCGCTGTACCAACGTTATTTCTGCTTTCTAATTGAGTTGGATATGAGGTTAGACGTCACGCTAGGCTGGTGAGCTTACCTTGTCCACGTTGGGTGTTTGGGCAATGGCGGGCACCATCGAACGCAGCCGATGGAACTCTTGGAGTCTTAAAATCCTTTGACGGTTTCTTCGCTCGCGGCGAGCCAGTCGTGCGCGAAGTGCAGCTGAACGCTGCAGGGCCGGATCAGCACGCAACTTCGCCCATCGAGCGCTGAGAGCCGCAGGCGACCCTGCGTAACCCGTAGCAGAGTCTACTGATTGGTTCGATGTGGGCGCCATTGGTACACCATCGGTAGCCTTTACCATCTAAAACGGTAAGGAACACACGAAAATAAAATAATACGTGAATATATGTAGCTATCGTTGAGGAATCTGCGCTTAGGTTCTGGCAGTGCTTCAGAAATGTCAACAAGCTGACAAAATAAGAAATCATTAAAATTCTGTGTCTATGATAGCTTATCTTCAGCTAATTCTAAACTAAACTAGTGCTATGTAATAGTAGTTTACTATCACAATACTATATATATATAGTATATAGTATATATGTTTGCGTTGTTTTTTGTTATGATTGTTTTTGGAACGTACAGAGAGAGAGCCTTTTTTGCCGGATAACGTAATTCTCACTTGCGTCACAAGTCTTTTTCTCGCTCTCCCCTTACTTTCCCCCGGCTCTCATCAGATTTCCCCACGGTCCGCTTCACTCAACTTTACCCGCACGCAAGCTATCTCGTAGACGAGACGTGCCATCATCGATGAAACGGTTACCACATTGCGCATGTATATATATACATTCGTACTACAGTATTGTTCAAACTGGGTGTTAATATTCTGCAAGGCAAAAGCAGTCAGGGAATATTCGTTGGAGCAGCAGTTATGCTCAGGCTGAAAACGCATGCATATATATATGTGTGTGTGCGATACGTCGTGTCTATATCGAGTACAAATGGGAATTCTCAAGCGACACGACGCTCCAGTGGTCGCGCTGTGCACCAAGATCAGAAAATCAGATCTAGACGTCTCACTACTCTTAGACTATTTCTGGGCCGATGTCACGGTAAAAGACAAAAAAGATTAGGGCCGGCCTTTTGCCCTGATCGACGTGTGCGTTCCCTCGAAGATTCTGGGCGGCTGATCACAGGACGAAGTACAGTGAAGATTGAAGAACGAAGGTGAGAAAGACAAACTTTCACACGCTTTTAGCCGCCGAACGATTGAGCAAGGACCGCTGTTGTCGTTGCTGTGACAACACCAGGGGCCACGGCAGCGACAGCAGCTGCTGGCGTAAGTAGGAGTCAGTGACAGATGTGTATGCGGCGAAGGTCGTTTACGGGCAAATCACCGTAAGAAAGGAACACTGACGCAACGACTAACAACAGCAACGCCATCGATCCACTGTCGCGTATTCCCTTTTGACACGTCAGCTACAAGAAAAAGCTTCGTACAACCGAAAAGAGCGTTTTCCATTGACGCGATCCCTATGCACTTCACACACTTCATACTCTGTCGTGCAGCGCCGACACCTGATAGGGCCCAGTCCTACAGAACAGGTCAAAGGCAGAAAACCGAAATGAAAAAGCAACAGCATAGTACCAGCTCTGAAAACAACGGCAACAGCAGGAAATGCTTTTTTAAAACGAATACACAACTGCCAGCGGAAAAGGAACGCACCTGCGCTACGAAGCTGTTGCCGAATTTTTCAGCTCAGAGATCTACCTTGGTGCAATAACGCAAAATGAAAGGAGAAAGGGACCGATGGAAGGACGACGCAATGCGAGATAAAGTTTAGCTATATCTTCTTTGAATGTCGCTGCTGTGGCCTTTCCCCAGTTTCATTGTTCGTGGCAACAAATTACCAGTGAGTGTGACAGCAAAAGGAACGACACGTACGAATTGCAACAAAAAGGTGGTAAGCGATTCGCCGGCTTCCCGAGCGGCTAAGGGCGGCCAGCGACGGATCGCGGTCGGAAAGTAGAGCCAAAGATGGACCGCCAATCGGATATTGATCCGACACAATGTACATTCACAGTAATAGTATTAACGACAGAAATGTTACTAGACGCGTTCCGAACAAAATCGTGACTGGTTCGCCCTAACCATGCATTGGTCTTCGTTCTTTGTGCGTCTGTCGGCGGTAATCGATAGAGTGTGCATCTACGTAAGAAGATGAGCCGGCAGTATAAGCGATGATCGTATAAACAAGCAATCAATGTAACAACAAAATGCGATTCACAAAATTAGTACTACTAAATTCTGCACGTGACACAAACAGTTTTAGGTTGTTGATACGCCTCCGTAACATTATTTTTCATGTCCTTAAGGACATATGCATACCGTGTGGTGCTATGTCACGGTATATCAATCAATATATCTTGGCGGGACCGCATGATCGGTTAGATCATATGATTGAGACGCTCTATCGGTTGTTGGCACGTGTGTACAACGCATTTTCTATTAATTAAGTCTCGCCTAATTTAAGAAGATAAAATAAAGCCAGTTTTAAGAGCAAAATATGACAGCATTATCAAATTGACTGTTACTTTTATCTTGATGCGCTCTTGCACCTTCCCTCGCTTGGAGACCTCGAAGCACCTCACCATAATTAGATGCCCTTGTTATTGTTATGCATTCTACGAACGCCATGAGGTTCTCGAGAAACTCGAGGAAGTTTCAGATATCGAACGATGAGCTTTTTCCCGCCAAACCCTATGTCATTAAATCATCGCCAGCAAGTTCCGTTCTTCGAACGTTTTCGATCACGAACAGACGACAGTGCCTTGAGCCTATCGATGCAGGCTAAACGACCACGAATTAATAAGATTCGATAATGATGATGCTCTGCTAATGTGATTGGCCACACCAAGCAGCAGCAGCAGCAACAACAAAAGGTGCACAGTCAGCAATAATGGAAGCCAGGTGCGCCTTATATTTGGCTAAATCCAGTCGTTTGATAGGTCAGCAATTCGCTAGCACGCGAGTTTACGTTTCTGCATGGCTGGCCCAGGCTGAACGGCCGATCGGGTTGTCCTGACGGGGGCCAGCAAAATAATGACTTAACAGATATGTACAAATCAATCACAGCACATATTTAAAAGGGGATCAGAGGCAATGCTCCCGACGAAAAGAACGGGTTATCTCACTTCTATTTTGCCGGCCGGGCGGCGGGCGGGCTAGCGAAACATTTACCGGACGAGAGATTTATATATATATAAATGCTCAATGACTGCGTTGCGACAACGGCAGTGCTTCTATCGCGTCGTTATCTTTTCCTACGGGTTGTATTCGACGTGCTTCGTTTCTTCACGCTTTTCGAGCAAAGAGACGACCGAGAGAGAGAGTGTGAAGAGAGGTGATGAGAGGCAGTTTCCATGAATTGTACGAAGTCATATTTTGTTTTTTATGCCGGATCGTATCTCATCGGTTTGGCTCGGTTTGGGAGAACACCGAAGAAAAGACGATTACCTAGAATAGAAATGTTATCTCGCTAGGGGTTCGTGAAAAGCGAGTGTGTGGGTCGTCAGGGTGAGAGTTATGTGTCGAAGATCCGGGAAGATTACGTCGTATAGTGCATACACGTTTTTATTTTCGAACCTGTCCCTGAAGAATGGTACCCAACATACGAAAATCGGACAGTGACCTGAATTGAATCTTCAGTTGTATTCATTCACGCTCGAATTTGAAGATCAATACAGATCTTCTCAATTTAAAAAGTTTAAATTAGGATGATGCCCAGAAAAACGTTTCTGCTAGATTATAATTTTATACATGTATAATATAACCAGAATTTGTTCAGTCCCCAGGAATGGAGGGCAATCTGGACCTTAATGTTGCACATTTGTTTAGTTAAATTCGTAATTTTCCTTTGATACCGAACATTTGGAGCACTGGCTAACTATCCTCCTACAGATACTCCATAGGGCTGTGTAAACAAGTTGACGCTTGACGTTATCGAGGGCGCCTATTTGACGCGCACGCCCTTCGAATCTTTCTCCCTATCCGTAGGTATACCAACCTGGACAATTGTTTCTTTATGCATACACCCAAACGACTGACTCCTTGATCTGACTTCGGACAGCTCTGGTCCCTCAACAACAAGCTCTCTGTGAAACCGCTAAGTCTATGTTCGTAACTCTGTTGGTGAATACCCGCCTTCAAGTGACTTTATTACCGCCGGTAGCCCTGAAGAGACGTGATCTGAAGTCTGAAGGCAGATCCTCCAGCGTAGTCTTTGGACTTTTTATCCGCTTTCATCGGCCGAATCATTCGAACATGAAATCTTTTTTTCCGCTCCCTTATTTGTTCTTCATAAGCCTTCTTTCTGGCCCGTTGCTGAAGCTATGTTGCACTGCGGCGAAATAAGGCAGCGTACCTTTTAGCCACTGCGTCTAAGCCATACACAGCATATAGCTAAGTGAAAACCTACTGCTTTCGGCTTACTTGGTTACTCGCGTGGCAGTTCAGTCGGCTCGAGCTGTAACTTGCCCGTGTGGCAATAAACGCCCTGAGCAGACACACATCAGAGATATACACATACAGCGCGGTAAACAATGAAGTGATGAGAAGCCAAAGAAGACCGGTGCAACGGTAAGAAAGCCCAACGTTACATACACGCACGTGTGTATGAATCGTACATACACATCGTAGGAGACACAGGGATCTGAAAGAATTTGCAGCTGCGCCAATTGACCCAAATCTAATACTGTAACTGTTCAACACTAAAGACGACGATTCAGTCTGCGGAAGACGTCGCCGTGCTAAAGTCACGACGAGACAAAAAAAAATCTAACGTCAGATCAATCGCTACGCTTCGGTTGGCTAAATCAGCTGACAGATAAATACAGTCGTCAGTTCAGTGTCGCTATATTGCATAAATACATCCGAATATTAGAAGAGTGAGAGTAGTTTTTTTTTATTGCATCGCAGTCGCGTCTAAACTTTGTTCACAAAACAAATTTTTCGAAATTGCGTAAGTGTCAACGTGCCGAACGTAAGACCCAAACCCGAACGGTGTAAGGAAAAACTTTTTTTTGTTCTTTCTTTTTTCCGGAAATTATAGAAGTACACAAATCTATGCGCTGTGGCAAAATATAAAAATATCGAAAATTTTTGTACATTCGAGTTCTTTGCTTCATTCTAATGTAGTTACTCCAGTCGAATTGTACGAAATGCCCATTCGATCCGTCGCTTGAATCACGGCCCGTTGCTACTCGTTTTACCGATTAATGTCCCCCGTAGGGTAAATCCTGAGGAACCCCCTAACGCCAGCAAAGTCGTCAATGATTTTCGGCTCGTTCCTTTCGGCTCCGGTA